ATGGAGATAAGGAGGGATAACTTCCATGCAAAGTCATGGAGGAGGAAGGTGGAATGTCATATACAAGAAACATGAAGTAGACCAGTTTGTCTGGATCCATGGAGTGCATGAAGGGGATTAATGTGAAGTCAGTCTAGAAATATAGGATACAATTAAGATTGTAAAGATTCTTAAATTCCAAATATGGGCATTTGTACTTTATTTTTGAGGCAATAGGGAGCCAATGAAGATCCTTGAACAGGGGTGTGTGACATGATCATCCTGGGTTTTAGGAGGCTCTGATAACCTATGTGGAAGAAGTTTGAGGAAAGAGGAAATGCTGGAAATATGCTAATGAGTTTGTTATTACAACACTGCAGGGTAGAGAGATAAAGGCATTTAAAAGAATCATGTAAGTAGTGAGGAGATGGATGTGATTGATTTTGTGGAGATGGATGAGCAGGTCTTGGAAATATATCAGATACTGAGGGCAATGAAAGGGGTTGAGATGATGCTGAGTTTGTAGATGGGGACAACTAAACAGGCAATTAAAGAAAAGAATACCTAAGAATGACAATGCAGTCTTGATGATGTGGGGGAGGGGGGTTGTGCTTCTGCAGCCTCACATTCTTTTTCTGTTACATGGAGAATCTAGCTACTAGAATGTGGGAGAGGGGATGGCACTGAGAACTGGATGTTGTTGTTGGTTTTTTTCCTAGTCACTTTCTCTCAAGCCAAGAGAATTGTTGAGCCTAAATCCAGAAAGGCTTCGATGCGGAACACATACTAATAAATAAGTCTCTTGTTCCCGAAGCCAGCTGTTCTTTCCTTCTCCACTGATGGTGGAGCTAGAAAAAAATGAACTGAAATTTGCAGCAAGAGAATTTAAGGGTAGATGTAAAGGAAAACTCTATAGAATGGTAGAATGTGCTTTTCATTTGGAAGGGGCCTCAGAGAGATCATCTATTCTGAATGCTTTGGATGAGGTATCTCTAGCCTCAAGTAGTAAATTGACTTACACAAGATCATACAAATAGGCAAAAGGAGAGTTGAGATTTGAACTCTAGTCCTCTGACCCCAGATCCAGTCATCTCGGTTCAACATGTCCCATAGCCAATTATAAGAAGAGGCTACGAAAGAAGGTTTAGCCACTTAAAGTCAACACCATACAATTTTGTACTATATATATACACATACATACATACATACATATATATGTATATATACACACATACATATGTATATATATATACACATACATTACATATATATGTATATGTATATATATTTATGTGCCATGTCTACCTATAACATGATTGAATTCTTTCTTGTGTATTGACCTTGACATCTCAGAAAGATCATAAGCCTATTGATGGCAGAGAGACTGTGTCATATTCATTTTGTGTTTCTCATCATGTTAAAAAAACATATTAAGTGCTTGTATTCTTTTGCTTTAACTCTTTGAATTTAGGTTTTCTCATCTTTAAAATGGGGATAACCATACCTGTAGCATTTATCACGCAAGTTATTGGGAAAATCGGATGAGATAATGTATATTAAGGGCTTTGCAAATTTATGTCAGCATTAGTTGTAATAGTAGTAGCTGTAGCAATAATAGCAGTAGTAATAGTAGTAGTAGCAGTAATGGTGATAGTAGTAGAAGTAGTAGTAATAGTAGCAATAGTAGTGGTGATGGTAGTAGTAGTAGCAGTGGTAGTAGCCGCAGCAGCAGTAGTAGTAATACTGATGGTAGCAATAGTAGTGTTAGTGGTGGTGGTGGGTAGTCATTGTTATGCTATAGAAACCCATGAATCTATTCTAAGAGTCATCCTTTTTTTGACAGTGGGGGAATTATCGAAGAGATCACTAAAAATAGTGTGACCTGGCTGTTTGTTGGTGATTTGGGGTCTAGTTCATTTGTCGCCTTCAGAAGTGTCAGATGTCCCCCTGCCTCAACCTGACAGTAATAATCTACTGAAGAAGTTAGATGTTACAAAGCCCAGGGAAAATGAATGGTGTGAAAATGAACATTATAATCCCTCTGAACCAAGGCTGACAATATCAGCCAGAGAGGACTCAAAAGGTAATGAAAATCAGTGAAACAAAAGAGGTTATAAATGTCCCCCCACCCCCACTGCAGGTCACATATTCAGGGTCACACTCAATTCCTACTGCATTCTTCTCTCCCAGCCCCCAATCCGCCTACCTTCTCTATTTCGTGCTTCTTCCTTAATGAAAACAAGGCTTTCCCTCGAAAATGTTTTTGATGGCAGGAGTTAACTGCACTGCCCTGGGTTTTCTACCACTACCACCCTCCAAACACCCCCTCAATAAAGCTGCCCTATTAATCACTCAAAAATGGCTTGAGAACTTATTTAATGTCACTGCCTAATCATTTTATTAAATCTCACTGCATCAGCATACATGAATTACAATTTATAACTCCTTTCTGCCACCCTTCATTCATTCATTCATTTATTCATTCATTCATTCATTCAATTAATAGATAATAAGTCTGTTGTCTGTAAAGAACTGTCTTTAGCACTTTGAGGGCTTTAAAGATGAATAGGACACATTCCTGGCCCTCAAAGAGGTAACAGACTCAAGGGTTAAGTTAAGCAAATTAACAATAGAGTACAAGGCAGAATGTGTTAAGTGTTATCTTAGACCATAAAAGCTACCTTTCAAAGACTTTCTTGCCTCTCTCTCACACATCTATCTCTTCCCAAACTGTTTGAATTATGTTCATAGATTCATCAGATATTAGAACTATCAAGGCACTTTCAAGCCCACCTAATCCAACTTCCTTATTTTTCTGATGAAGAAACTGAGGCCCAGATGGGTTAAATGATGCCAAGATTCAAACCCAAGTCTTTTAATCTCAATCTCAGTATTGAGATTGCATCTCACAACTTTGTTGAGCTATAACAAAGAATTGGAAATGACTGAATGACTGAATAACAGCAAAGGAACCTTAGAGATGATCTTACTTCATTTTTAGAGATGTAGAAATGGTGGCTTGAAAGCATTGTGACTTGTTCAGGATCACACAATTTGTTAGTGGAAGTCAGTTTCCTTAAATCCTGATTATCATTGAAGGCCAGGAATGTTAAACTGGCTATGACACGAAGGAGGAGGGGAAGGCCTCAATAGGAATCCAAGAAGACCAGTCACAATGTAGCTGACCCTGCTGGTTGAAATACATCTATTTACTGGTTGATTGACCCCTTCTTGGTTCTCCTGAGACAGCTGGATATCATAATGGATAGTGTTGGACTTGAAGATAGGAAGACCTGAGTTCAGATCCTGTCTCTGGTTGAGTTACTTACTTCTCAGATACAGTTTCCTTATCTGTGAAATAGAACTAATAATGGCACCCACTTCACAGGGTTGTTATGAAAACAAAATGAGATTCTATTATATGAAATTTTGAAAAATCTTAAAGCACTGGATAAATAGTGTTGATGATGGATCATGCTGGTGGTTGTTGTTATTTTTATTTCCATGGTACTTGCCTCTGAGGACCCATTAAGAGGTGTGGTGCTTCCATAACCATATCCAGTGGAACACAGCTATTACACAAAGGATAAGGAAAAGGGAGGGAAGGAAATAAGTATTTATTAAGCATCTACTATCAGACACTGAGCTAAGTTCTTTACATATATCTTATTTGGTCATCGCCACAACTCCAGGAGGCAGCTGCTGTTATTATCCCCACTTTACTGTTGAGGAAACATCAGATGGATGGGGTAAGTGACTTGCCTACGGTCTTAGTAAGCGTCCGAGGCTGGATTTCGACTCAGGTCTTCTTGACTGTAGGCCCAGCACTCTATCCGCTGCTCCATCTGACTGCTGTAGAAATCATTTCTAGCCAAGGAATGTTACAGTGAATCACAGTCGTGATATGGACCAAGAATGACTACCATTATTCTGCCAGCTTGCTTCCATCAAAAGCCCCCCCCCTTTCCTTACAAATGCATTGTTCTTCACTGTACTCACTAACTCATATAATGATGGTGTTTGGGCTCTAACCATGTTGCCTCCCTGGACCCTACCCCTACACACACAGACACACACACACACACACACACACACACACACACCCCTCAATAAAATCCAGCGGCATCCTATTGCCTCCAAGATCTGTTTGGCACTGAAAACCCTTTGCAATCTGGCCCCTCCCAACCTTTCCAATCTTCTTTATACTTGCTCTAGAATCCAGGGACAGTGGCCTTCTGGTTCCTTGAATACAACATTCCACCTCCCAACTCCATACTCTTTCACTGGCTATGCCCCGTGCCTACAATGCTTTCCCTTATCTCTACCTCCTGACTTCCCTGGCTTCCTTCCAAGACTCGGCTCATATCCTGTCTTCTAGAAGAGGTCTTTTGAGTCCCCATCCATGGTTAATGCCTTCTCTCTGAGAGTATCTTCCATCTTCTAGGTATATATTAAGTATCTACAAAGTTTTTTGTATGTTGTCTCCTCCATTAGAATGTAAGCTCTTTGAAGGCAGAGATTCTGTTTTTACTTTATCTCTTTATTTCCTTAATGAGTATCTTGGTGCCAGGCTCCCTGTGGCAGCAGACAGCTTCTTCACACTTCCCAGAGAAGTATACTACCTCACTTCTTGGGCATTAGGACTTTTCTTTTTTCCTGTTCCTGAAAATGAGTACACTGATCTTCCATGACTGTGACTCTCCTGAATAAATTGTTAATCTTTCCCTTCTCCCCTTACCAAGTACTCTACAATTTGGATCTCAGAAATCCTGAAGTAGGTTGCAATTCATTCGTACTTCCCTGTTTCTCTCCTCCTCCTATCGTCTTCTCCCCTTCCTACCTTTTCCCTGACTCACTTTCCCCCTAATCATTATTCTAGGCTCCTGTGACTTCCGACTCAGGTACATACAAAAGAATACGTTGAGAACAATACAGAAGATCTCAGATAGTTAACCAGTGTTGACTTATCATTGACAAAATCTGTTTTCATACTCAAGACATTGGCAGCTCAACGTCATGCCTCAACCCATAAGAGTTCCCAGGTACGTACAAAACAAAAGGAAAATACACTGACACCCAAGGAGAGAAAACCACCCAGAAGTACGAGACTCTCACAGTTGTCTCTTTGCCACCTTAGAGGTCCTGCCTGGCTCTCTCCAAGAGCTGCGTAGAGGGCCAATACTCTAACAACCACCAAGAAGCCCTCTTGCTCCTAGTTTTTATGCATTGACTGCCTATAATCTATCCATGGGAAAGAGACTTCTGCCCTTCTTGACAGCAGCTGTTTGTTTTTCAGGACCTAAATTTCAATTATCCAGCTTTCTTAAGTGTGGACTGATCCCCCCCCCCCACCACCACCACCACCACGGACGGTCTATTCTCTTGTCACTCTATTTGCCATCACTATAATTTTATGAACCAAGATGATCCTCCCTGGGTGCCACTCCCTATGTGTATGGTCTCCCCCATTAGAATGTAAATTCCTTGAAAGCAAAGACTGTTTTTGCTTTTTTGTTTGCACTTATGCTGTTTAGGATAGCATTTGGCACAGAGAAAGCTATGAACATTCTTTTTCATTCATTCATTCCAATCCTAATCTAAGTAAAAACACAGGCCAAAAGAAGCAAGAGCCTAATTATGGACTAAAGAAAATCCACCACCTGGATAAATTATCTCCAGGATAGTTGTCTTTGTGACTCTAATATGTACGAGAAGGGCAGGAACTTCTTGAATGGCTTCTTGTTGTTGTTCAAGCTTTTTTTTTTTTTACAGTCCTGTCCAACTCTCCATGACCCTATTTGGAGTTTTCTTGGCAAAGATACTAGGTTGGTTTGCCATTTCCTTTTCCAGCTCATTTTATAGATGAGGAAACTAAGGCAAACAGGGTTAAGTGACTTGCCCAGGATCACACAGCTAGTGCGTGTCTGAGGCCGGATTTGAACTCAGGTCTTCCTGACACCAGGCCTGATGCTCTATCCACCGCACCACCTAGCTGCCCCCTTGAATGGCTACAGATGACCATTTTTGTACTTCAGTACCTGCATTTATAGAGTTATGGCAGTAAAACTTAATATTGCATAGATCATCAGTGAAGATCAAAGGCCACTAATAAATTCATCTCCCAGACAAATTCATTAATTATGATTTTATTTACCTTCCTGTTACCAAGTTAATTGCTTATTCGTTAGAGTAAAGAGATGCAGCCTTGATTAAGGTCATTAATTGCCATTAGAAATGGAAATTCTTTGGATTTCCTCAGGTGAGCTTGAATTTCTCACGTTTAGCATTTCAGATGAAGAAACCAAGGTCAGCCAACCTTTTCACTTGCTAACTATACCTAGGCATATAAAAGTTCACTTAATGAAACCATCAGTTTGGGTACTAGAAATGTAAAGAAAGGCCCAGTCCCTACATGTGCTAATTGTTCTGCTCGGTTTCTTGACACTACACATATATCATAAAGAGATTAACATTTACACACAATTTCTTCAGCCTCATAAAGGGAAAGGTTCACAAGAGGAGCAAACAGCATGAACACTTGCTGAGAATAAGTGGATATGAGCAGCCACATAAAACCTGAGTTCTATGCCCTTCAACCCCCAGATTTGCTCTTTTTAAAAAGGAAAATAAATAAGTTCTAACATTTGCTTGGGGGGTGGGGAAGGCGTGGAAGGGAGAAAGCTTATTAAAATATTTTGTTTCTACATGAGTTGCATTTCACAACAAATACTACAATAAACTCTTACAAAATACATTGCCCCCCACGACAACAACAACAGCAAAAAACCTGTTAGATTTTTGGCTCTTAACAGAAAAGAAGGATCTGTCCTTTAATATGGACAGTATGGTACCAACATTGACTAGTCTATTTATGCAGAGTTTTGTAGTTATTTCACATTGACTTTACTTAAATACTCTGGATATATACATATGTATATACACACAAAGGGATGTGTTGCCTTCTCAACTGTTCAATTCACTTCAATTCATTTCAATTCAAATATATATGTGTGTGTGTGCATTGTACATATATACACATGTATATATATATATAAACATACATAATATATATATTTTATTGCATGTATCTTTAACTACTGATATACTTGAAGCCATTCTGTGTATTCTTCTTTTGGCATTGCTTTCTTCACTTGGTCTTGTTGAGGTTTTGGTGTTTAGGGGTGCTGGGACCCCAAAATCACAGGTCCTGCCCAAATGAATTTGATGCAAGCCTTCTTTCAGCCAAAGACAAGGTTTATTAAAGATCCACCATATTGGGCAGACTCTTAAGGAGTCTGAACATTAGTGAGCTATTGGCTAGATTTTAAGTATCTGAGCATTTTAGTGAAGACAAGATGAACCTTCTATACAGAAGACTGTGGGAGGGATCTAGGAGTGGCCAAGTAGTTTGGGGTGATGGAGGAGGGGTCTAAGGAAAATCTGGATGGGAGTGGCAAGTAGGGGGGGTGAGGGGTGGAGGTGAGAGAGAATGGAACCTAGATAGGATTAACTATGGGAAGTGGCCAAGGGCCATAGGGAGGTAAGACAATGGAGGACTAAACTAGGTTAAGGGTAACAGAATTGGGAGATTGGGCATAGGTGATAACTAAAGGCCAGTTGTTGGGATTATAGCCTCAGACAAAATCCAGAGATTTTTGACCATGTGTGTTTTTCCTTTCTGGGGTCCAGATCCCATCCTCATCACTCTCATTTCCTATAGGTCTTCTCATATTCATGGGAGTGATAGGGTGTGGCCCAAGCTGAGGTCTTCACCCCTTGCCCCAAAGGGAATCTGGCTCCCATTTGTCTACAGGCCCCAGCCACTCATCTCCCTTTGAAAGCTTTTTGATCTCATTCAGATGCCTTTCAGTTCCTTCATTATCTATTACCATTGTCTATTCAATCTCTTAGACATTCCAATGGAATTCTCTCCCAGACCCTTTTCCCAGACCATTTTCCCAGACCCCTCCTCTGGCTACCCAAAGTTACTTTAGTATATAATATCTACCCTGGCCCCCATTCAGATGCTGAGAATCTCAAGCCCAAAAGGCTGAGCCTTTCTCATGCCTGCTAGTCGTTACTGGCATCATCTGCCTATGTGATTTATCACCAATAAAACTTTTTCTCTGGCTGGAAAAAGATTTGAGTTGAATTCTTTCAGACAGGGCCCAGCGTCGCATTCTTGGGGTTCCCAGCAGCCCCCCAAAGTCCTAGGCCTCTTCAGGAGTTCTTCATTTTCCTCCTTCCTTGCAGCAGTAGTGGAATGCACTGCCTCCATTCCATTCCGATGCTGTAATGTTTAACCATTGCCCAGTTTTGGGGCACATGGTTTGTTTCTAGCTTTTTGTTATCACAAATAATGTCACTATAAGCATTTTTATACAGATGGGTCTTTTCTCCTAGTGATACGTTTTTACAAAAACTTTTAAAATAGATTTGAAACTTATCTGTCTTATGAAGAGATTTTTAGTCAAACTGTCTTCAGCTCCAGAGAAAAACTGATGAAGTGGAAAATATATTATTCCAAGGCCAGGTTTTTTTTTTCCTTCTCCTTCTGAGGGGCAGTCAGTGCTGAATGCAGCATTCTTGCTGTGCTCAGCGAATTTAGCTTAACAATCAAAACTGTTTGTTCCTGAAACTGGTCTTCCTCCATTCAGTATGTTGTTGAATAAGTATCATTACCAGGAAATAATAATATGATTTCATTAAGTTTTATGTAGTCTGTTTCTTCCAAAAGAAGTCATTAAAACACTTTGACCTATGCCTTATTACTCCTCCCAAAGTCCTTGATAGATACTTCTTTTAGTGCATTTTGGTAGATTGGTGGTTTCATCAGCATAGGCTTGCCCTTTTACCAATTCAGTCTTTCTATACATTCTCAACCTTTTAATTCAGTTCATTTCAATCCAATTCACTTCAATTCAGTAAATATTTCTTCAGTTGCTATTCTATGCCTAGCACTGTGCTGAGTGCTGGGGCCACGACTAACATGAAATGGTCAACAAGCATTTATTAAGCAATTACTGTGTACCGAGAAATAGGCTAAGCACAGAGTATGCAAATGCAAACAGAAAGAAAGACTGCCCTTGCCCTCAGGTAGATTACATTCTAATGAAAGAAATCAATACATAAAAGAAAAATGAAAATTGGGTAGGTACCGCACACTGGGAAATGGGGAGAATGATAGAGAAAGTCTGGGGTACAACCTGGAAAAAAATGAAGACATGGCTTGCCTAAGCAACCTTCTTGAATAGAAATTCTAGGAGGAGCCACCCAATTAGAGGGAGAATTTGGGGGTAGAGGGTACTTGGAAGGTATGCATTTCAGCACTTGAGCGAACTTCCAGGATGAAGAGGTTTCTGGGGTGTTGGATAAAGACCCTATGGAGTCAAGACCCACAGTTTAAGAAATGCTAAAGGGATCTTGAATGGAAAAAGTTTAAGAAGCCCAGGCCTAGAGTGCAGTCTGGGGAGGAGTGAAATCCCCATCCAGTTATGCACAATAAAAAGAAAATTGAGGGCAGAGAGTACAAGAGACAGTACTAACAACTTAGGGTGTCAGCAAAGGCTCTATGGAGGAGGTGGCACCAGAATATTTCAAAAAATTCCTCCATATATGATCAAGCCAACATGCTAGAAGCCTTCCTCTTGTTCTGATGACTTAGTTATTATTCCATCCATAATCCCTCCTCCCCCCCTTACCCAATACATGACTGGCCAAATTTCTTCCGTTGGTTATACAAGTCAACAAGTAAATCAAAATAATATTTATTTAGGAACTCGCATTCTTTCAAGGAATTCCAGCCACCTAATAGTAGGAAAGTGTCAATAAACTAATTCAAACTAAGGTCGCATTTTAATATGGTAATTCAGAAAAGGTTTGCTTTTTTAAAAAATTTTAAATATGTTAACCTCAAAGCAACGATTTGCCAGTGATGAAAGTTCAGGCACTGAAACAGGCTTACCCAGTGCCCAGGTGACTGATTGCCTTCCCACCTTTTGTTGTTGTTATTATTATTATTATTATTATTATTATTAATATTATTATTATTATTATTATTATTATTATTAGTCATTCAGTCCACTCCGACTCTTGGTGACCCCATGAACAACGGCAGGCCAGGCCCTTCTACCCTCCACTACAATCCAATGTCTGTCCAAGCTCATGTTTTCTGCTTCTATGACACAATCCCACCTTTGCCTGAATCTAAAACTATCCCTTTCCTTATATCTTGAAATATGTTGGGGGAGGTTACAGCTGGCTTCCAGATATAGGCATCTCACACCTCCTGGGTATGGCTCATGTGATTTATTTAGAGACTGGGGCATGCCCAGAACATCTGAAATTGTCATCCTCGGTGAAGTGATAATTTCCTCAGCCATGTACTATGTGCTAGAGTCAAGGTCTTCCTAACTGTTGGTCCCTAGAGAGAAGGATGATTTGTCCCTGTTTCACATTGTTAATTAATATGAAGCCAGTGTTGCCTTTTACCATTTTGTGCCTCAATTTCCTCATGGGGAAAATATTTAAAAACATAATTCATAGTGAAAGTTAATATTTTAAAAAGGATAATGAGTCAGGAAAGGGGCTCCCAAAGTGGGCTCAGCCCAATTCAGGGTTTCACTTGAGTACCTGTGGATGGTGGGGAAGGTGGCTATTACCTCGAGGACTGAAGGAAGGGTCACTGTGCTGACATCATCTCTTCTCTCTATACCCCACTAGTTCCAGGGGCCCTGGAGGAGCAGTGCTGACGGGGAGAGTGCAGCGAGAGAATGAAGAAGCCAACCGTCAAGGAGAAGCATGAGGTGGCAGTGCGGCGTTCAGTTTAAAGGGCTTCGGCTGGCGATCCCATGGGCAACGCTGCTGGCGCTATGTCTTTCCAGCTGGATCTTTGCTACCACTGCCCTTGCTGCTGCTGCTGCTGCCGTTGTGACCCCTGAGCAACATGCCTCTTTGGCTGGTCAGCCCCCTTTGGACTGGTTGCTCACTGACCGGGGCCCATTTCACCGTGCTCAGGAGTATGCTGACTTCATGGAACGGTACCGTCAAGGTTTCACCACCAGGTACAGGATTTACAGGTGAGAGAAGTCTTTTTCTTTTCTTAAAATTAATTAATGAATTAATTTTTCGTTTTCAACAATCACTTCTATAAGCTTTTGAGTTTTAAAGTTTCTCCCTCTCCCTCCCCAAGCAGCACGCAGTCTGAAGTAGACGCTACATATACATTCCTATTAAACATATTTTCACATTAGTCATGTTGTAAAGAAGAATTAGAACCAAAAGGAGGAACCATAAGAAAGAAAAAACAAAACAGAAGGAAAAAAAAAGCAAATAGTATACTTCAATCTGCATTCAAACTCAGTAGTTCTTTCTCTGGATGTGGATAGCATTTTCTATCATGAGACTTTTGGAGATGTCTTAGATCCTTGCATTGCTGAGAAGAGCTAAGTCGATATAAGTTAGTCATCAAACAACATGGCTGCTACTGTGTAGAACATTCTTATGGTTCTGTTCACTTCACTCAGCATCAGTCCATACAAGTCTTTCCAGGTTTTTCTGAAGTTGGCTTGCACGTCATTTCTTACAGCACAGTAGTATTCCATTATATTCAAAAACCACAACTTGTTCAGCCATTACCCAATTTATGGGCATCCCCTCAATTTCCAATTCTTTGCCACCACAGAAAGAGCTGGTATAAATATTTTTGTACATGTGGGTCCTTTTTCCATTTTTATGATCTCTTTGGGATACAGCCCTAGAAGTGCTATTGCTAAGTCAAAGGGTATGCACATTTTTATAGCCCTTTGGGCATAGTTCCAGATTGCTTTCCAAAATGGTTGGATCAGTTCACAACTCTACCAACAATGTATTAATGTTCTAATTTTCCCACATCTTCTCTAGCATTTATCATTTTCCTGTTTTGTCATGTTAGCCAATCTGATAGGTATGATGTGGTATCTCAGAGTTGTTTTGATTTGCATTTCTCTAATCAATAGTGATTTAGAGCATTGTTTTTTCCCATATGACTATAGGTAGCTTTAATTTCTTCCCTTGAAAACTGCCTGTTCATATCCTTTGACTATTTATCAACTGAGGAAAGGGTCAAAAAGATGTCTTTATCCAATAGGAACTCAGCATCATTGACTAGTTGACATGGGTTAGCCCCTCCATTACCTAGACCTACAGCAAAAGTCATAATCTTTGACCATTTGTCAATTGGGGAAAGGGTCAAAGAGAAGTTTTTATCCAGTAATAACACAGCATCATTGACTACTTGACATGGGCTAGCCCCTCCATTACCCAGACCTACAGCAAAAACTGGCCAAGCCCTGGTTCTGAATACCCTCAGAGTAAGTGAGAGGTGAAAGCAGGAGCAGGAGTACACATGAAGCAGAGAGAATATACCCACTATATTTTTGTTGTGTTCTGTTAAAAAAAAAAAAGATAGAAAAAAACCTGCTGGTGTCTCCTGGGGGACTTGGCAAAAGAGTTTCTATTTATAGGCCATGCTGCTTATAAACTGAAGACAAGTCATGCGGTATGGAGTCAGCATGGAGTCAGCGTGGAGCCCAGGATGCAGCGGGAGGTCAGAGGCAAATGCGGGGGCCAGGTTTTAACTAATGGGTTGAATCTTTTTATCAGTGGTAATCACTTACACATGCAAATAAGGAGAAGGGCAGCCCAACCTCCTGTTTCAGAGACCCAGCCGAGCTCTGCAGGGGACAGAAGGGCACCTGTCCTCCCCCCCTGACAAAGTTGCACTTTCTGGGGTTAGCAGTTTTCTCCTCTACCATTGATCTCTTAGAATGTCAGAGCTGAAGGTCAAATATGAGACCTGCCTGACTCTTCTTTTAAAGTCACATGTTCCCAGGGTGACTGGGCCAGTGCTTGTCCACGCCCAGGTCCTGACCAGATGTGCCACAGCATCATTCAGGACACTTCAAAATGCATAGACAATGCACAGATCTTCCCTTGAACTAATTTTCTCTCTGTCTTTGTCTCTGTGTCTCTCTCTTTCTCTTTCTCCATAACTCCTTCACCTTATTCTCCTCCCTCCCCCTTTCCCGTTTTATCTTGGGAGATTTTTGATGACTTTAAAACATCTGCATGAGTTGTTTTGCTTAACAAGGCTATGGGAGCTGAGGACAGCAGTATGTCACACAGGAATATTTCAAAACAATTTTTTTTTAATGTTGGCCAGATGCTTAGTATAGAGGGCCACTCATCAGTTGCTTAGAATGCCCACTTTCATACCACATTAAGAAAGAAAGCTAGATATGTGTCTGGCTGATACCCAACTAGGTCAGAGGTACAGAGAAGCAAGGTTGCCAAGATCTCCATGTTTGTAGTCCATGTGCATGCCTGGCACAATACTCTTCTAAGTCTCTCTCTGCTTCTAGAGTTCCCAAATCCCATTCAGCCCACAACCTAGCATGATGCCTGGCACAAAGTAGGTTCTTAATGAATGCGTTTTGGTTAATTGATTGATTGATTCAGTTATGGAGAAGGAGTTTTGCTCATTTTATGAATTTCAAAATCCCAGTTCCCAGGTGGTTGTTCAGTCCTGTCTGACTCTTCATGACCTCATTTGGGGTTTTCTTGGCAAAGGTACTGGAGTGGTTTGCCATTTCCTTCTCTAGCTCATTTTATAGATGAGGAAACTGAGGCAAACGGGGTCAAGTGGCTTGCCCAGGGTCACACAACTAGTAAGTGTCTGGGGCCAGATTTGAACTCAGAAAGATGAGTCCTCCTGACTTCAGTCCCTGATCTCTATTTGCTGTACCACATAGATGCCCTCTGTTCCCAGGTACCTACTCCTATTTTATATCTCCTCCTCCAAAAGGCTATACTGGATGGGGAAAGGGATTAATTGAAGTCATTGATTCATTATTTAAATACTGCCCAGTCTAAAGACCAAATTCCCTTCAAAGACAACTGGTCTCCCTATTTTATACAAGTAAAATGGAGTAAGCAGGCATCTAAACAGTATGGCAAACCCCCCTCCCCCACTTTAAGTTGGCTAGATACATGAAACTCTTGATTTTCCTCCGCAAATCCAAACGATGTAGTAGTAACAATTCTCTGTTTTATAAGACTCTTTCCTTAACTGAAAGATTCACCATGTTCATCATAGAATTTCTTTCTTTGAGCCTTCTTTGATTGCATTTAAAAATAAGCTATGACTGCACAATTCTACCCTCACCCTCAACCTTTAGAAACCCATTTACTGTGTAAGACAATTAGCAAAGCAAGTGCTGGAGGTTGTGACAGGACTTCCCATCCCCACCATTTCGTTTCCCTTTTCTCTTTAGTAGAACTTCCTCCTTCTCCTCCTGCTCTGACCCACCCACACAGCCTTTCTGGCAGTTCTCATGCCTGATAGCCTAGTGATGAGGCAGTAGCTTAGAGCTGGCATTGGGGAATGGTCCATAATCATGTCTGTACACTTAATGCATCTATGGGATCGTAGCAGCTTTTGGATCACTTAAAGTGACAAGCTCTCTCAGTATCATGTTGTGCATCTGGGGTCAGTCACTGTAGAGTGAGGAAGTCTAAGAAGCCTTGCATTCTTCTTCTGACAGAACAGCATCAATCTGATATGGGGGTAGGAGGTAAAGCCTTTTGAAGATGAAAAAGTAATATTTATGTAGTGCTGCCCCAGTAGTATTCTGGGGGTTGAAATTTCCATCATTAAGGAAACTGATGTGACTCTGGGTAACTACTGAGGCTGTTTGAGTACTCTCCCAGCAAAAAGTTACTTGTTTTGTCTTCATTCCTACTTAGGTCTGTTCTTATCTAACACAATCATTTGTGTGTTTTGCTCCATCTGGAACTGAGTTACTCTGTGTGGACTAAAAACCACTCATTCCCAAAGGAACATTAAAATACTGTAGAATCAGCCCCTAGTTTCTCCCCCTTTTCCCCAGAAAACATATTGTCAGATCTTAAAAGTGGGAAAATGAGACAGAGTGGAGCACGTCAGAAAGTGTTGTATGATGTCATGTTTGGGCCTTGGTAGAGCTAGCTGCTCCATGGCAGATGCACCTCTCATTTATTAAATTATAGAATTCCCAAAACTACCTCCCCCAAAAAATGTAAAGAGGATATAATCAGATCGAATCAACATGACCTGCATTGATTTCACACAACAGTGCAGGGAAAAGAAGCTATTCAAATGGCCTATGCAGATGAAAATCAGATACTCAGTGGCCACTCACACACAATAGAAGAGTGAGACTAGCATTCCTTCCTCACTGATTGAACAAAACACTTGCTGTTCAGTGAACTGCAGGAAGCTTCACAAGTTTGGAAAACAAAACCCCAAGGGCCCCTGATTGTTACTTAGGGGTAGAGTAGCTTTAGGGCCATCAGACAGCCTTTGGCTGTTAACAGTGGCAATATGTGGAGGGTGGTGGGAACTGGTGCTTACTATCCAATGTATCTGCCTTTACTTTTGTGCTTACCCAAGACTGGTAAAGCTAATACACTGTTGGTGTTTCTGGGCCCCATCATGGGCTAGGTACAAAGTACCCTTTAAAAAAAAAATCAGTGGTAAAATTCCTCTTTAAATCCTACATTCAGTCATAGAAAGGGACTCTTCCATGACACCCTTCTCTCTTCCCTCCTTTCTCCTTCCTTTGCCTCACTTCCCCTTCCCTTTCCTTATTCCCTTCCCTCCCTCTGATTTATTTATGAATTTTATAGTGAACAGAAATATACCTTTTTTCCCTCTTATCCACCTTCATTGGGAAAAAAATATATAGATAAACAAAAAAAACAGTTGATCATGTCCATAAATATATATACACATGCATGCATGTACATATGTGTGTGTGTACATATATGTGTATACACATGTTTTTCATTCTAAACCCTAAATCCATATATGTGTTTCAGTATCGCCTATTCCCTAGTATCTGCTCCTCTTCTGCACCACTGCCCACAAAAGGCTGCACTGGGTAAATCCATCCAGGCTAAGATTTAGTATTTAAATTCTACCCAATCCCCAGACTCAGTTCTCCACAAGTGGTGAATCTATGTCTTTGGACAGTTCACTCCCTCTCTGGAGTAGACACAT